TTTAATCAAAGAAAAAGGAGATATGAAAGCAGTTGGAGGAAAAGGTTGAGCATGGCATGCCTTCAAGAGAAAGACAATAATGAAAACAGGTAAGATTTCTCCATCTTTTTTGGTATTTTTATATAAACTGATAATAAAGGTTATAATTAAAGTTTTACTTTGAAATGGTTATCAAAGGAAAACTACTGAACCAAATGTTATCGAACTTGATAATAGTTAAAAGGAAGCCTTCGGGATTTATTTCCCTCAAAAATGTTTAAAAATCTCATCACCAGAGGGGAAAAGTGTGCTGCATGCAATATTGTTAAAAGAAATAAATGTCGGAATCTAACCTCCCCCGGTCACAAGACTTCAACCCCTGTGAGTTTTGGCTATGGACTTTTCTCAAAAGCACTGTTTACGGCGATATGATAATGCTGTAAACAATTTGGCGAAACAGAAAGATTCGACACACTGACATGTCCGTAGCATTTTCCCTGATTTGCTAAGTGCAATTGTTGAGAAATATGATTTAACTTGTTTTTGGAAAATGGTGGACGCCACGTTGAACATGCTTCGTAACACGCTTCAGAAACAATTAAACACATTTTAAAATGATGTCTTCATGTATTATTTCGAATAACAATTCAGTGCCATTCCTTCACTGGTTTTTAGTGTCTGAACTTCTTTTTTGGTGGAAAATAAATCCTCATTAACTCCTTCAAACTATTACTAAGTTCGGTAACATTTGGTCCAGCAGTTTTCCTTTTGTGACCATTTCAAAGTGGAACTTTAATTATAACCCTCCGGTATTTAATATTAATAATTCCTCTTTTTTATATTAATTGAGCTAAAATTTAACTTCAGTTGACTTGATTCAATTATTAGAATTTTAGTTTTATTATATTTTAAAAATAGTCAATTTAAACCTTAGTTCCTATCAATGTTGAGATTTAAATATCAAAACTGCTATATTTTAAAAAATAGCCTAAACTTTATTTGTTGTATATGATCTCATTTCTTGTTGTTGCTCACTTGAATGAAACTAGAAGCAGTTATTTAATAGGATAAAAATACGACGTTAGATTTTTGAAAGTTTATGTATCGTCTTAATGGACTTCAAAATTTAAAAAAAAATATCTAAATACATCTTAAGCAACAAAAAAAATTGTATTTGAAATATTTATTAAGCAATGCAGGCGAATGAACACACAAAAATACACAGATGAGTATTAAACGCATGAATGGTACGAAAACAATTAATTCAATTTTGATAAAGTTAAAATGCTTCATGTAACACTAATAGAGCAAGAAGATAACTGTTTAAAAGTATTCTAAAGATTCTTTGAGACAAAAGAACTCAATTTCTTTTTTATTCTCACTCTAAAGTGAAATCTAATTAGAATATGAAAAATGCGTTTTTAAAGTTAATGATATTTAACAAAATGTTTTACGTAGGTAACTTAGTTTCCTGGGAAAAATGTTTTATCTTTTCATTTTCTCGAATGTTACTGCTAAAAATGAAGCTTTTACTTGGGTGGTAAGCTATTTTCCGTATGGTAAAATTTCAATTAAGTAAAGTTAATGCATGTCTTGAGCTTTTTCATTATTAATGTATAGTTTGAAGGATAAAGTTTTTAAAATATTGAGTTTTAAATGCAAGAATAGCACATAAGTTGACATTTGTTTCACACAACACAAAACTACATTTTAATCATAGTTCATGAAATGAATATGTTTTATAATTTTTGTAATATAATTCATTAATGGTGGAGCAAAAAAAAACCCAAATATTTTTCTAATTAAAAATAAACAGTTCTAAATGGCTGTAGTGCTAGCCTCCAGAACTGCGTATTTAGCCAAAACATATAATATAAAAACATTTATAATTCATAAAAATTATATTCCTTAAACTTGATATTCATTACATTCGATTCAACATAATGCATAGAAAGGGCCTTCATTTTGCTTGCCCCCTTTTAAAATACCTCAGTAAATGTCAACAAATTTACTGAGACTCTTTTAATTTTTTCTGAATTCAATAATTTATAATCAGTAATAATTCTATTGCAAAAATGCAGTTTTTTTTTAAATTTAGGGCGAATTTCTGAGCTCCTGTTCTGACTGCTGTATTTTCTTCTCGATTTTCAACTTTTACTTGAAGAATTTTGTAAGAAACAAGTTTCTCATTTTTATGTTTGCACAAACATCATTCAGTGTTGAAGAAATATAAAATAGTATGCCACAAACATCATTCTTATTCTTTTTTTAAAATTATTGTTTACAGCAATTTGCTCTGGTGAAAATATTATTTTATAGACTATGTATTTTACGCTTTTCTTCTTAAGCTAACACCACAGCTTCCAAAAACTAGTTTTTTATAAGAAAAATGTCTGCCTTTTTACTTCACCTTATTGTTTATTGAACTTTTGATATTGGGACGGCTTTTTTCTAATCTTGGGAAAATTTTAATTAAAGGCAAATCGAAATTTTTCTTTAATCTTATAATAAATAGAGGAAAGGGGACAAATATTGAATGACAGTAAGGACATGGAATCCATCTGGTAAGTATTTTCTACCTTTATAGAAACTTTCGAAGATAAGTACCTTATAGAAACAAAACAAAATCATTCTTTTAGAGTCACCTTCATCTTAGCAGAGTGTGCACTATTCTTACTTGCTATTCCATTACTTTGATACACTTATGTTGACGCATATAGTACACATATGATCTCTAAATAAGTCAGCATGAATACATCATAGAAATAGAGTGACAGGTAATAACAGTGAGGATAACTTTCGATTTTAGTCTATTTAGGTTTTATTACCTGGATACGTGTTTATACTTGTCCACAACATAGATTCTGTAGTGGATAGAAATAGAATGCGTGGCAGAAGGGGATTATTCAATGCACAAGAAGGCACAAGGGGCTTATATTAGACAACTTTCTAAAAATCTGATTTTTGATGTAAATGACTTTTAATTGTTTTTTTCTTTTTCTTAAAATTCAAAAATTTCCATTTATTTCTATTATTATTTCCTCAAAAGTTTTTAATTCAAATATTTTGAAGTAATGATTTATTTTCTCATAATAACATACAATTATAACGCTTTTTTTTTTCATTGTTGTCACTATTATTAAGAAAAGTTAGTATCTGCATTGTAACATCTGTATTTAGATATTTAAGAGGCATACACTAAAATAAAAGGATAAAAAATAGTGTATTTTCATTTTTCAAAAATCAATTTGTAAATAAATTCCTTTGAGCAGTGAGAAAGCGGCCTGTCCCCTTAAAAGTTTTACAATAAAAGTTTCCAAAAGCTAAAAAGTTTAATCGTAAACTTTTTGTCACATGTAAATGGCATTCCGTATTTGTCTTCTTTTGCTATTAATTTCGTTTTTATTGCTGGAATTAAAACATTAAAAGTTTTATATTAATTGCATTTAGTGCTTACTCCTTGATCTGTGAGCTATTGGAGGAATATTTTTTACATTGTTTAACATGAAATTCGATTGCTACTTTGTTTATGTATTTAGATTCGTTTTTTGTTTGGGCTTATAGATCATGGCTGAAACCACAAATTTTGATCATAATAAAGTGTTTTAGGCAAAATTATATATTGTTTTATTGTTTTAGGAGTTCATTGATCAGATAAAATATGATTGTATGTCTCAATGCTGATATTAAAATTAAGAAATTAGCCATTTACACGCATTATTAGGAATGAATTCACATTGTAGGTTGCTAAATGTATTTATAAATTTTATATGACAAAAAGAAGCGCAACTCATTCATTTTTATAACCAATAATTTTAAAAGTAAATAAATTTAGAGAATTTTATGCATGCTTTTCAAAGCCAATGATTAAAACTACAAATCAGTGATATAATTACAAATTAAATTTAGGCACTTACTTCTAAAGTTTAACATTTCACTTAAATTTATTTACTAGTTTCAAAAAGCAATATATCATTTAGTAAAGCAATATATTATTCATTAAAGCAATTTATATCTATTTCGAGAAAAACAATTTAGTAATGCCAGTTAATTAATTTTTAGTTGACATTATCCAGCTGAATTAATGAATTATAAATTAGTAGCTTAATTTTAATAGCTTTTTAAAGCTATGAAACTATAAATGCTACATTTTAAAAATGCTTCATGAGATAACGTGATTCGAAACGTTAACATCGAACAGAATTTATAATCAGTAGTACTATTTTTTGACATAAATTTGAGATTTAATTTCAAACGGAATAGTTAACAATAATAATAATAATTTACTTATGTGAAATGTTAAAGGGTTGTTAATAGAACAAGATTTAGAAATACTTATCAAAACTACATAAGTCATATACATATTATACAATCCCCATGATTGCCACGTTTAAAGATGATTCATGGTTCTTGATAATGTGTTTTTCTTTTAGTTTGCAAGAGATGTTGCAATGTGCTGTGAGAAAAGAGTTATCAATTTACCATTCAAGAAAAGAGTTATCAATTATTGAGAATGAAGTATTCTTATTTTGTTAGTTGTTTGATGATTTTATACCAATTTCCTGAAACCTTATTGTATGGATATCACATTCACGTTGCAAGAGAAATTTGATTAATGCTTAAATGATCGCAAGTATTTATAAATAATAAATGAGTTTTGAAGAAAGCTTTTGATGTGGTTCATATTATAGGCCGAGATGATATAAAAGATTAATTGCTGTTAGATTGTAATATTCCAGGAAATAAAATTCTTCATGATTTAGTTTCATATATGTAGTTTATTTACAAGATATATAATAAAATAATGCTTAAATATAACTTTCAGTACAAAACACGTTTAACAATTCAATTGATAAAACTGTATTGGCACAAAATTTAAATAAAAGTCATTATTTAACGATTAATTTCTGTAGTTCTGTATGAATTTAAATATTGCACAAAAGTTACATATTTCATGTTTCAGAAATATTGAATGCTACACTTGCAAATCTTTTAAAAGGTTCTTAAAAACGTTTACTTACAATTGTATAATTTCTTATGAAACCTTTAGTTCATTTCTCTGAATTGTATGCTCTTACCAAGCTCAGTCTCATTATTTAAAATCTCTTAAGAATCGTCCCGTTCAGTCTCCTTGATTCTGAGTGCACACCTAAAATAATGTATCAGGATTAATAGAATTATTCCCATCACAACAGGATTAATGAAAAACTAATAACCAATAGCAATAGTTTTTTTCTTAATCTTGTTGGAAAGCTCTGTTTTTCTCTTTTTACTTATTCAGCTGACTTATTCAAATAGTAATTAACTACGCTTAAATTTGTAAAATCTCTTTTTCATATGGATTTATATTAATGACTATCAAATTTACCATGCGTAACTTGTTGATTTGTAAATAAAATAAATTATCCCCCAAAAATTGTACTTAATTATTCAAATTCTGCCGTTAGCTTTTCTAATCTCCGTCCATAATTTTCAAAGCAAATATTAAGCCTTTGAAAATTAGTATCTTCTTCTAATTTTATTTTTATCATTTGAGAATGTATAAATTCTTCACAGACTTAAGAGAAAGGATTAATTAATTCTTATTTGCTTATAATTAGTGAGAATCTTGTTTCAAGAATAATAAGGATTAATGTTTTACCAAGGAATAAACAAACTATTTGTATTAAAATTTTTTTTCTTCTTAAAATAATATTTTTCATCTATTATTTTATCCTTTTATACTGCATTTTTAATAGAAATGAAAAACACTAAAGGATTTAAGGAAATGAAAGAGCATGTTGAGCAACACCAATGGCGATGCTAAAAAAATGAATTGGGATACGTTTAAGAAATTTTTAAAAATTTTAAATTTTGCTTACACTGTGGAAAGTAACTAAATTCTACAGAAAAAACCACATATTTTACAGAAAAAAAGCTGTTTAAAAATAAATACAGATTTTTGTTGTTGCTTTTAATCGTTAGTCGCGCTTTGCAAAAAATTCCCGTTTTTTTTACTGACTTTTTCCTTATATTTGGAGGTTTAAAGTTGTTTTTTACAAAGCAGTTTTCTCTATTTTCCATTCTAATTAAAAAGGGATTAAAATTGTCAATTCAAATTCTAATTTTTGACATGCAGTTTTGCTTACCATAAGATAATCTTATTGTTTTTTTTTAAAATCATTTTATGATTATTTTTATACTTTCTCTAACTTTTCAGAAACTATTTTGTGGTTTTGTATAAATAAATTTGCAATTCGACTTTATTGTTAATTTATACTCTACTTAATTATTATCAGTTTTTAGGTAGAATTTTGCAATAAGTTAAATTATCAGATAATTTCATAAGAGAGAGCCAATACAATTTTAAACGTTTTTCACTTAAATAAGATTTTGATAAGTAAGACTCTTAAGCTACAGGTAGTTTAAGATTTTTTTCATAGCCAAATCCTTGAGTTGCCGTTGCTCAGGGGACAAAACCCTCACCACTCAATGAGGTGACCCGGGTTCGTATACCGGAGACTCTTGAAAAATCAGCGCTCGGCTTCCACCGACCACAATGCTGGCTTAGCCATTTTATGGATTTTTTTTAATTAAAATAGCATGCTTTTTTTAAATAACAGAGTACAGTACTAAATAATAGTTCTTACCTGCTTCAAAAGCAGGCGCATGTTTTTAAATAATCGAGTTTCTCTGTGAAATAAACGGCTTTATACTGGAATACCAGCTGCCTGTTTTTTTCTATAAATTTAATAGATTTTTTTACAGTGCAACAATTTCAAGTAATCTGAAGAAAAAAAACTTCATGAAAATTTTGAAGCATACAAATTTGAATCTAAATAATAAAAAATAACTATTTCTTGGCCTATTTAAGAAGGCGCAAGTTTTTACACTTAAAACATTGCTTGTTTATAACTGAAATATATTTTTCAAAATTTCGTTAACATTATTTTATATTATTTGGTTAAAAACAAATATCGTTCATATAGTTGTAGTTTTATGCAGTTCGAAGATTTCTGAAAAAATATTTACATATGTTTTAAAAGAGATCAAGCAAATTCAAAAAAGTCTTTGAGAAAAAAAAAGAAATTATCTTTTTTAGTCTCTTTTACAATTCTACATTGCTTGAATTTTTTAAAAAATATTTACAATTATCTTAAATGAGATATTTAGAAATTTAAAATAATTATTTTACATTTACTCTTAAAATACCATTAACTAAAGAATTATACTATGCTTTATTTGTAAGCATTTAAAAGTTATTTAAAAATAAGTTGGAAAACTGAATAAAATAGAAGTAAGCTAATATATTTTGTAAATTTTTCTAGAAAATTACTAACATTGATAAAGATTCGAATTAGAAACGTGTCTATCACAAGGATATTCTCATAATTACAGAGCAATTAATTCTTTAAAAGAATCAAGTACTCTAATACTTTAATTAATATCTCATAACTCTCTTCTTGGGTGTAATTTAAAGTCATTAATTCAGTGAACAGTATTTTCATCACTGATTAATTCTTATACAATTCACGTCTTTTCACGATTCAAATTAAATTTCAGTCCTAATTTTTCTATATTCAAATATTAGAATACGACAGTTAGAATTTATGCTATATTATTGCATTAAGAATATCTCTTATACTAATCAGCTATATTTTATGAAAATTAATTGAGAATTAACAACTCGTACAATGTTTTAAAATATTGTTTTTAATCACTAACATGGTTAAAACTTTTGGAGCCTTTTAAACTATAATATCATTTAAAATTTCTGCTATCTTAATATGATGCTAAGTATAAACATATTGTCATATATCTTTAATTTGATTGCACGGCAGTACTATTTAACTTGAAAAGAAACATGATTCAATTTAAATGAATACTTCAATGGTTTTTTAATAATTGATACTGTCCAAAATATTTCTTTTTAATTTCAAACATTCGGTATAAACATCTCTTTTAATTTCGCTATTAAATTTGGCTCATTTTAAATATCGAGACAAGAGTATGTCTCCTAATTGAGTTTTAAACACACGTTTGGTATATTAATAAATAATTTTGAGACTAAGGTGAACATAAAAGGTGAAGTTATCCATTATGCAGATGTCTTCAAATCTATCAGTTTTTTTAAACAAAATAAGTATTATATTAAAAATTATTTCTGATTCCATGTATTTCATTTAGAATTAACAATTTCCGTTTCAAGTGTCATGAGAAATTTTTCACTTTGTTTCCCCAGACACACCAGAATTTGAGATTAGTTTCGAGAAGGAATTTTAATTGAATTTCAATCTAATTAAAGGTATCTGATATGCACACAGTAAATGTGCTTCCGTTGTGAAACATACAAACTTTGATCGTAACTGAGCTGAATCTAATATGGAATCGCTATGCAAAATACAAGATGAGGCAACTTTTTATTCTTCTATTACTGATTTTAAGACAATGAGTTTCATACCGAATTTATCTGAAATGCAGTTTGTTTTTATGTAACTAATAGTTGTTAAACAAATTTTTATTCTTATTTCATGATAAATAGATTATGTTTAATTTTAATTTGATGTTTAAAGAGGCACAGAAGTAACACTAATGGGCTATTGGTGATAATCTGGAATTCTATCTTAGTGATAGTTATTCTTATTTCTAGATAAATAGATTATGTTTCATTTTAATTTGATTGTTAACGACGTACGGAAGTTACACCAATGGATCAATGCCGATAGTATGGAATTCTATCTTAGTGATAGTTATTTTTATTTCAAGATAATAGATTATGTTTCATTTTAAGATAGTGTTGAATTCTATCTTAGTGATAGTTATTCTTATTTCAAGGCAAATAGATTATGTTTTATTGTAATTTGATAGTTAACGATGCACGAAAGTTACACCAATGAACGATTGGCGATATTCTGGAATTCTACTTCAGAAATAATTTGAAAAGTCTACGTGCATTACACTGCCTGATCGTTGAATGCGACATAATATAAATTTAAAGTGCTTACACTGTAAAAAAATAGATGCTCAAATTTCAAAAAGCTTTTTTCGTTTTTGACGATACCATTCCCTGGTATATGCTTCGAGCAAAAAGTTTGCCAAAATGACGAAATTATTATCGTTATTTCTTCGAGGAATCGAATTTCGTCAAAATTAAAGAACCATTTGGCAATTTTATATCCCCCCCCCCGAAAAAACGCCTTATGTATCTAACTTTTTTAATAACCACTTTATCGTAAGCACCACATTAGTGAATTAATGTCGCCCAAACAACATAAAGAGGACAGATAGAACAGAGAAATAAGTTGCTTGCCCGAAGCGGGATTTGAACGCAGGATCTTCTTGTTATGAGGCCAACTTCTTCACCACCATATAGGCGGTTGGCTTGCTTCGGTACTTTATTTTCGATCTTCACTCTAGTTTCATCATTCTAGTTAACAATCTCCAACAATGCACTGTGATTGCACCGTTAAGGGTTGGGTATCGAAAAATGAATACTAAGGGAAGAGTTTACTTAAAATTATACCAAAAACAGGAAGGCACATGATAAATAGGTTTAGTGGCAGTACATTTTAAAGCGTTAATTAACCCGATAGAAAAACTGAAGTAATAAATCATACCTTGGCTTGGTCCAGATAGCTGTACTAAAAAGGAAAACAATCCATATATTGTCCACAAAAGAGTAAAAAATTAAAGAACAAGTTCAGATGAAGTGGAAAGTTCATATTTATTCTATTATAACTTAATTCAGCATCAGGAAGACAAAACACAGTAAGCGTATGGAGATGGTATTGGATAGGAGAGACTGGAAGTTCTTTATTTTCGAGGTCTTCGTTCTGCCAGAACGAGTCCGCAAGCCCAAAAAAAGCACAATCAACGCCGGACAACTTCAGTGAAAAGTGGTAGAATAAGGACGAAAAGGAAACGATGTAGGATAGCCATCTTCTTTTGCAAACATTTATCAGCGAAAACCATGACAACCGATATGACGCCATGTCAATAGGAATTCTGATGAATCTCATCATTTTCCACAAAGGGAAGCTGCAAACACTGTCATTTAGATAGGATCATTTTGCGCGGTGATCCTTTCACCAAAACCATGCTGAGAATCGGAGATGGATTTTTTAAAGAAAAATATATTGTTTCATACTTAAACTGAATATGCAGCCGCTAACATTAGTGATGGCGGTCGTAACGCCATGCTCCAACCTCAAGGGGGGAGGAAGGAGAAAAATGAAAACTCCGTTAAGCGGAGAGCTACATATAAAGATTTTTTTTTTGAATGCCACGAGCATCTCTTGCGCTCCGATATTTATCCTCTTGCTTAAAGTTAAAGTCAAATTACCTATTTTCAAAAAGTTGAGATGTTATCACAATTATTTTACCAGCGTTACGGTTATGGAACATATCTCAGATTTTGTAGGACACGCTGACATCAAAGATACCGGCAAACAGCTGTCTTTCCTAAGAAAAAGGGTAGGGCTGAAGGAATGTGAACGGAGAGTCAGGGGGAGAAAGTCCCCATTGCACTACAGATTAAGGGGCGAGAAGAATTAGATCAGTAAATAAGGATTTCGTATCAGGAATTAACAAAGTTATAACAAAATTAAATTAAACTTGTGACCTGATGTCACAGTGATGAGGTACCGAGTTGAAATATATTATTAAGTTATTCCGATATATTTTAGAGTTTGTGTTTTGTCACAAATCACGTGATTTCTTGACGAAATGATTCGCAAATACCTCCCAATTCTAAAATACAGCATACAAGGATCGTCAAAAGTGAGATTTTTATTTCCAAGACTGTGCAGATTACCAATATCTAAAGCGGGTAATAGGTTTGTTCATTTAGACTTGACTATTGAATTCATCTACTGTTTTTCAGAATTATTAATCATTACTTGTACTTATCTGTTTGTCATTCGATACTAAAAGATCAATTAAGAACTGAATTTATTTTTAACTAAATGAATGTAAAATAGTGTATTTCGAGAATTCTTAAAGAAAATACTTCTTTTCCATAACATTTTATAATAATTTATCTTGAAGTTAATTTAAAAATCTAATTAATATATGAGATACATTTATATCATATTTTATTAAGGCTAGAAACTATCTTAGAAGTAAGATTATGCGTATTTACTTTACTGTTTCTTTTTCTATACTCCGCACGAAATAATGAAGGATCAATAACGGATTTAGTCTATTTTTTATCAATGTCATCATTAGTAACTTCTGTCCATTTGTATGAAAAGAAATTTAGTGAGAAAAAGGCTGATAACGTTCCTTTCCAAACTAAAGCGTAAAAGAAAATATTTAATTTAGACATGAGTTATATAACTTCATCCAATTATGTGGAAAATTGTTTTGCTCTTTAAATTCAAAAAAGAGAATTACTCTTAGTATAAAAATTGCACAAATTGTAAAAATAATTAGTTTTTAAACCGAAACATTAATCCTAAAATTTACAACATTTGTTTATTTCAGAATAAATTCAAATTCAAAAATTTTCCATTAAATTTCTAACAATGATTATATATTGTGAATTGTTAACAATACCATGTTTTTACTTGCTGAGCGATAAAACAACTTAAAACTATGCAAATAAACAAAAAAATTATAACATTTGTTATATAATAACATTATTATAATCATATTAGCATAAAACGTCGAAATAAAATTTTTCGCATTATTTATAAACTTGTAAAGAAATATTTACTTATATTGTTTTTAATTTATTTTAAATTTCAAAAATTCTCCTTTCATAAATTTTTTATCAGAATTTAAACTTATGTGTTGAAAAGTATAACGTAGAGTTTAAATTATTTAGATGTTACATGACAGCAAAATTCATTTTAATTTTCGAGAGGGCTTTTTGAAATTGATAAATAATAATGAACTTTCAAATTGATTTTTTCAAAAATATTTCTCTCAAAGACGTGCACTAATTATGAATTTACGTAGAATTAAAGTTATTGCAAATAAGTAAATTTTCATTCATTTGATAATTTATTTCTGTAGTTGTTTAATTTGAAATAAAACTTCCAATTCGAAAACTTTCTACTTAGTTGCTATCATTGCATTTACCTTATAAATTGCTGAATGAAATACTTTTAATTGATGAAACTACTAATTACAGAAGCTAAATGTTGAAATATCTGATAAAATTATTTCATGTAGCTTTTTTATTGTAAATAAATGCAAGAAATAATCGAAAACTAAACTGTATTGTTTCCTCTAATTCAGTAATAATAAATCACTTTATTTTACGACTAACATACCTTACACACTGTCAGAAATGTCTCAGAAAAAATGGTTAAATAACAATTTATTTAATTGTTATTTTACTATATTCCAAAACAGTGAAATACTCGTAAATAAGATGGTATTTTAACTATTAACTGTGAGAAAATTCTTTTGTTAACTGCTTTCACCTAATACGGTTAAACGACTAAAATTTTATCACACCAACTAGGCCCTCATAATGAAGTCACTTGTAGCTGGGTTCATGCTATAGCCGAGAGAGCTAATCTGTCAATCACATAACCGACAGAACAAGAGTTCGAACCCCAGCTTTGGCACCTCAATATTTCCTCCATTCTCTTCAACGCATGAAAAGTTTCCAGTAGCCTGAATTCCCTAATTTGTGACCTTGGACTATTAGAATACCATACTCTCATTCTCATACGGATAGCAGTTCCATAAAGCTGCTTAGCATAAGGAAGTCTTGTGTTTCTATTTCTTATAATAGGTGAAACAACCAGATAAACAAATTAACCCACATTTCATGGTTTATTTCATAAAATACAACTAATTCCAATTTTCATTACCTAACGAAAGGCCAAGCTTCAATGTCCAGCGAAATTTCATTTTTAAGGTTTTGAAACCATGCCAGTTATAAAGGGTTGAAAAATAGCAAACTTCTGTATTCATGGTTTCATAAGAATACTAGCTGTTAGCGGTTTTTAAAATGGTAAAGGTAAAAAATGCTCTTTGCCGTAAACTTTACCGTTAATCGGATGGACAGGATGCTGCCTGTTATTTTACCCTAATTTTTGAAAGAAAGTTTTATTAGTGAAGATAAAAAAAAACCCAATTACAGTGTCGTAGAATGAGAAAAAAGAAAATCAATACAGTGATAAAAAATTTAGACATAATTTCTTAAAAATACTAAATGCATAGCAAAAATATCAAGGTCTTTAGCAAATTCGTTAAAAATGCTGTAAAGTTGTAAGCTAGCTAGGTCTTATTGCAAATTATTTGCATCAAAAATAATATTTATAAACTTCGAAATTTTAATATTATCTGCTAAAATTAAATATTTAGAATTTTTAAGAGAATTTTTCACTGAGGTCATTTAGAAATAAAATGAAGAGCAATGACGAAAGATTTGAATCCTGAGGTACTATAGAACTACTTCTAAAATAGATATATCTAGACATAATACATAAATAAAATTAAAGAAGAAAACAAAAACTTTTATTTGGATAATCTTTATTTTATGAGATTACTTTTTATTGTGAAATATAAAACCAAGAAAGCTCCGGGAGCTCAATTGCTTTAATGTATTTGATTTTTTGGACATTTTATTTTAGACATTTGTAAACTGTTATTAAAATAAAACTACGATTGTTTCTATAATTAAAATAAAATTATGTGTTGCCTTACCTCAGGTATATTCTCTATGTCAAAATTTTATAAAATAATGGTAATACTTTTGGGAAAATCTAAAAATGCAGCTAGAAAAAACTTCATTTAAAAAGTGATTGAAGTGATTATTAATCTATATCTCGAAGGAGAATTCCATATTTACGTCAAGCAACAGTTAGAAATTTTTAGTAAAACGTCTAACTGGAAAATTAAGTAAGGCGGTTGTCAAACTAAACCACGAAAGAGAATTGAATATTTAACGCATGAGCCAGAAGAGAAATTCTATTCGCTGCTAGTAATATGTTATGGTCAGAATGTATGCGCTATGATCGAAATATATCTCGTACTATAAGAAAAGAGCATAAATGTAAACTTATAGTTTGAATATTTTGTTCTTTTTTTACTACATTTATAAAACAAATATTAATTTCACCTAAATATTGGTTTATATGCATATATATAGTTAAAAATATAGAGAAAACTTTGAAAATAATACAATAAAGATTAATAAAAGAGGAGAAAAATTATAAAAAGCAATATCTTTTTAAAAATATTAAAAAAAAATTATTTAAATTTTTTGAAAAAAGCTGCAACACAAAAGCTGTAAAGCAACAGTATGAAACGCTATAACTTCGTCATCAGATCACGCGATTATATCTACAGTAAGGAGTGCATTCAAATAATGTATTAATATAGCCTAAATAAAATATAAAAACACGATAGTGTGAGGAGTTTTTAAAAATATTTTATTTTAATAATTTTTTTCCTCTTTTATTAATCATTATTATATTACTTTTAATGGTTTCTCTATATCTTTAAATATTTTATGAGTGCTGTATGCTTGCAACTTATGCGCAGTAAATACAACAAAAAAAACTTATTATTTTTCCTAATTTTCTGTTTTTCTCTTCATCCTTTTTGTCTTTATTGTGCTCTCTCTCTCTGTATATATATATATGTATATACACCAAAGAGCCATTACATTATGACCACCCTCCAACTATAGCAATGGATTCGCCCAAGTTTTCATGGTTTCTCGCCCAGGAACAATGTTTTCATGGAGCACATTTGGACCCATAATCCTCATAGAACAATCCCTGACTTCCGTAAGCTACTTGAACATAGTTGCAGACCAGGTTCACCCATTCATGGCAACAGTTTTTCCTGCGGGGGATGGTGCTTACCAACAAGATAATGCACCATGTCATAAGGGTCGAATCGTCGAGGACCATTCCAGTGACTTTCAAGTCATGTCTTGGCCCCCAAATTCACCTGACCTTAATCCAATAGAGCATTTGTGGTCCTACTTGGAAAATCAAATTCGTGCTGCCACGCTACCCCCTCGCAATGTGAGGGAATTGCAGGACCAGTTGGTGAGCGCTTGGTACCAGATACCTCAGACTACCTATCAGCACCTTGTGGAATCAATGCCACGGCGGGTG